GGATGTATGCATCCTGAGGAGGAATTCAGCCGTGCATTCTGAAGGCTCTGGAATAAACCAAGCTTTGTAAAAGCAGACAAACTTCATGAGCTAACTTCTTCAGTAATCTCCACAAGGACTCCATGCCGAAGCAGTGCTGGAATCACCCCGGGGCACCGCAGGAGCCGCACTGTGTACGCACACCACGTTCTAAGGAAGGCAAGGCTAGTCACGCTGTATCCTCAGTGTAATTAGGCAATTTTATTAACGGCACTTGGTAATTACGTGGTTCTCTTTTCTCGCGAGGAACTTCAGAGCGCTCTACAAGCTGACAGAAGGCAGCCTCCGCGGTACCGCTTCCCTCAGCGCGAAGTCGCACTTCCGGCAGACCGGCCGTTTATTTGGGCGCCCGCATGTGAGCGCAGGGCCGGAGTTTCAGGGGCGCGGCGAGCAGCAGAGCCCAGCCGTAACTGCGGCGCGCATCCAAGGTCACCCAGGCGGCGGCAGACGCCGGGTTCCTCTGCCAGCCCCGTCCCGCAGCGCCCGTCCCGCTGCCCGAATCGCATTTGCCCCAGCGGCGCTACCGGTTCCCAGACTCCTCGGATCGAGGGAGCGAAGTCCAGCCGGCACCGGGAGGCTCGGACGGGACGCGGCCACGAGCGGGGCGAACGCCTCAGCCCCGTCCCCTCTTCGCGGCCGCCCGAGGAGACACCAACTCCGAGGCAAACTTCTGCGCCCCCAGCCCTCCCGCCTCCCTCCGCTCCGGCCCGGGGCGAGATGAGGCCGCGACGCCCCGAGCGCGCGTGGCGGGGCCCGGCGCCCCGAGGCGGTGCGACCCTCACGGCGCCAAAGCACCGCGCCGATCTCTGACGGTCGCTCGGCCTCACCCCACCCTGCTCCCGGCCCGGCCCCTCCCGCACTCACGTTCTCCCACCAGCAGGATCCTCACGTCCTTCTTCATGACCCCGCTGCCTGGCCCCGCGCGGGGCGCTCACATCGGGCTCGCCGGGGGTAGCGGAGCCGCCGCGGCCTGCGCGCCCCTCACGCCGCGACCCCCTCCGCGCCGCACCCCCCCCGCACAGCGGGCGGCCTACGGCGGCCGGGCAGGGACAGCCGCCGAGGGGCGGCAGCGCGCCTGCGCGAGCGCCTCCCGCGCCCGACCGCTGCGCGCCACCCTGAGGCGATCCGAGGCCGCTGTGCTGTGCGCGCCTGCGCTGAGGAGAAGCCGCGCGCTGGGCTTCCCTGGAGGCAAATTGCGTAGTAATTGCTGAACAAAATGTAGTAAAACGCTGCTCCTGCGCACTCCAGCACGAATTACTGTTGGGAGATCAGAGGTGCCGAGTTTCTACCCGCCACTTCATCACTTCCCAGTCCTTTCTCAATTTGGGCTTTGATATCTGTGATGTTCATTTCCTGAGCACTCTCCTCAGTCTTCTGTTGAGCTGCTTTGCCCTCCCGTTCAATGAACACTGACCTTCAGTAATACGGCTTTTGATCCGAGATGTACATTCCTGAAAGGCAGAAAACACAGAGATCCGGTTTTTGTTATAAAGGAAGATAAGTGAAGTACAAGAGTTTACTGTCCCATTTAACATGCTCTTTGACCAGAAAGACCCAGATGTATTTAAAGGAATAAAATGTATTTGATACTGTCCTGCATTGCCTGCAGTCAGATTTTGGGCAGTCGGGGGATTCCAGGTTGTTGCAGAATTACAGGGGAACAAGCTAATTGCAGGTAATGAAGTACAAGAGGTACCTTTGTGTCACTGAGATCCTTTCTCAAGATGTTGATGTCCTCTTCAATTGTTTCAGTTGCTTGGAGATGTTTTGTATCTGTTCCTTCTTTAAAGTGACACATTTAATCACTCATCTGTGTAATCCTCAGAGAAAACATGACTAGGTTAAACAGCGGGATAATAAAAATCCTTACCTTGCTGACAGTTAAACACTGGCCTGGTAAACATAACTAACTGTGTGAATAATCACAGTAAAGTTCGCATTCAACAGTCCTAAGTTATATATTCAAATATATTTATGAGTTTAAGCTCTTTGCATGACTGCAGAGACTTAAGACTTTTTAGACACATGTATGCGTAGTGTTAATGAAAGTCAACAGTCAGGTTTTGCTCATTTCCAACAAGGTCTGAGAGTTTCTGTAAGCAGAGACAGTGAACCAGTTCCATTCTGTGTCGTTCAGCTGGGTGGAGCTGTAGCACTGTACTGGTTTATGTTTCATTTCAGGAGTGTCCTGTGCAATGTTCACACAGTAAATAGCAACACAGAAGTGGTTTGTGAAAAGAAGAGGGAAAGAGCTGATGGTGACTGAAATACCAAACAACTGCCCACCAGGATGCTCAGTGCTCAAGGCTATGTGATGAGACTAACCTCCTGCAAAGGATGAAATGCACTGGGATTACATCATTTGCTCATTACAGATTTTAACTGGAAGAATAAAAAGAGAAGAGCAAAGGAACAGCAAAGGAAAGAGAACAGCAGAGAGATGAGAAAGAAGAAAACAAGTAAGGAAAGATTTACAGACGTTTTAGGTTTAGAGCCCTCTAAGTATCCTCTCATGGCAGCCCCATCTCTTCTCTGAGTATTCACACCCTTCCCCATTCTAAACTGACCTGAGAGCTTGCTGATTTAGGCACTTCCTGGAGTTCAGAAGTCCAGCACTAAGATCAGCTAGCTATTATACCTTAGACCAGCTGAGCACATTTTGCTATTAATTCTTTCAAAAAATGCAATCCTCAACTTGCAGACACCACCAGTGAACTCCACACTGCTTCAGCTAAACCTATCTGCCCGAGTCAGCAAAACGCAACACTATTACAACAATGCCAGTATTAACACATGAAATACAAAGTATCCAGGGGAAAAAGAAAAAAGAAAAAAAAAAAAAAGGAAAAAAAGGGCAGGATGAAAGGTGCAGTTAACTCAGTCCCAGCCATGGCCCGGTCCCATGGCCCCACTGAAGGGCATTTAGAATAGTGGCTGAGGTGCAGTGGGGAGAAGCACTGTCTGCTTCTGCCCATACCTTTTCCCCAGGGCCCTGCCCTACAGAGTTCTGGCTGCAATGGGCACCATCTCCAGAGAATGTGGGTTTATTCTAGGCCTCTAAGTCTTCTTCCTCCACCTCTCTGGGGATTAAGTTCACCAGAGTGGCCAGCTCCCAGTTGGCTGTACTTGGTAATGCAGGACTGGCAGAAGCTGTGGGTTCAGCCCATGATCCACACGCGGCCCATGAAGTAGTTCAGGCTGCTTAGTTCCACATCTGCCTGCAGTCGCACAAAATCAACAGCAGCAGCCATAGTGCAGTTTCGTTTCCCACAGGCTCTGTGCTGCTGCCATGTGTGGGGTGCAGGGAGCTGCAGGCTGGGTGGAGTTGTTGTACAGCCCTGAGGTGCTGTGCCCTGCAAGCCAGCATGCAGCACTGAGCTCCCCAGGGCAGAGGCAAGGAGCTCCCAGGTCTGTCAGAGCGCTTAATACAGGTCCAAGTTTGGGTTAACTGTAGAAATGAACTGTCACGTGGAGCTAGCTCCCTGTGACCTGGCCTTCACTTTTATTGAGTCTACAAAAAAGATGCTGTTGTGTTGCTCCAGAGTTTCATTTTCTCAAGGAACTTCCTGATTTTGTAACAAAAGTCACATCAATGTTGCTGACACAGTGGGAGAGCAAGCACCACCACAGAAGCAGCCCTGTCCATGAAGCTGAGGTTACTGGATGGACTGCACTCTTCTGAGATCATCCTGAATTATTCAGCTCATCTCAAAAGTGCTTTGCTATTGATTTCAGAGGATATAGGCGTAGGCTGTTAGATCTGAACCAGCACGTGAGCTGGGAAATTAAGTTAATGGGCATGTATCAGGAAACAAAACTACTGACACAGATTGCTCAAGGTTGGATGATAAGAGACAGGCAGAATGATGATCTAATTTTTTTTTTTTTTTTTTTTTTTTTTTCCTGTGCTGCTGTAGGAAGAGTTAATCTTAGTAATCCATGCACATATTGGTACTTCCTCATTCCTGTAGAAGAGAACTATTTGGGGTAACTCATACTGGCTGGCAAGCATCAGCAAAAGGTGGAAGCTTGATCAGAAACTTAAGTTTGCAAGACTTCCTCTTGATTTGCCAACTAAGGGAATCTGAAAAAAAGTAATTAAGTACCTGAATAATTGTTCAGTAGAACGAAATCTCAGCCTTGGCTGTGAGGCAAGAAAATACTCAGTGCACTGTATCAACGAATACAAATCCTCACCCATTCCCCCATTTTTAGAAGCTGACACAGACCAGTGTCTTCATCCTGAACTCATGTCTTGACTGGAGTAGTAGGTGGGGCTGCTTTGGAGAAAAAAAAAAAAAAAAAAGGTTTCTACATACTGCATTTGCTGCTTCCAAAATAATCAAATAGCAGCAACTGTTGAAAGCAAGGATCTAAGGGTATGTCATTAGAATGCTTCCATGACAACATTCTTCACAACTCAAGCTTGACTTTTAATTTTGAGGACTTGTTTCTCAGATCCTCAAATAATAAGAGTCCACAGGCCAGTCAGCCTCACCTCCATCCAACTAATTCTGGATGTCATGTCCAAGCCCAAGCAAGTGGAAGAAAGAAAAGGAGGTTATCAGGAGTAGTCAACACGGGCGCAGCAAGGGAAAATCATACTTGACTGATCTGGTAGCCTTCTGTGATGTCATGACTGGTTGGGTAGATGAGGGAAAAGCAGTGAATGTTGCCTGCCTTGACTTCAGCAAGGCTTTTGACACCATACCCCAAGAACATCCTTACAAGATAAGCTTAGGAACTGTGAAGCAGATGATACAAACATACTTTATCAGGGAGCTGGAGCACGTGCTCTCCAGAAGTCCCTTCCTCCCCCTCTGATTTTTGTGATTTTTTTTTTTTTTTTTTTTTT